AATCTTATTCTACTTGTGAGTTATTTCAGAATTTTGTTCTATACTTAAATTTCTGACAATGTTTTCCACTAAAAACACTAAAAATAACTTATTCTGACTGGGCATGGAGGTACATGCCTCTAACCCAGCACTCCAAAGTCTGAAACAAGATCACAGCTTTGAGGTCTGTCTGGGCTATATAACAAAACCCTATCACAAAACAAAATATAACTATACAACACATGAAAACAAACACTAATTGTAACAGCGATGATAGGTTGTTGATAATGTCTTCCAGTATTAATTAACTTAGTACTCATCATTTTCATGCTCAGACTCATCCCTGCCAATTTAATGTGAGAACATATCTCAAAACACTATGTAGTAATAAACAAACAAAACTAAACAAAAGGATTTATGGATATAGCTCAGTGGTACAGTGCTTTCTTACCATGGTCCTGGTATCAAGGAACAACAACACACACACACACACACACAAACACACACAAACACAGACACACAAAAGGTTAGACTCACCTAGGGTTGTTAATGATTGTCTTCAATGCTCTGAGTAAATCTGTAGTTGACATTGTTTTTACCTCCAGTCCAATGGCTGCTCCTTTTGCCACCATGTGTGCAATGTTATCACGTTGTTCCCCAAACAAAGAGATGCCTACCATAGGGATGACAGATCACCTCATGGACACTGTTAGCTCTACCATGAGTTATAAAAGCTTTGGTTTTGGAATGACCTAGGATTAAGTGAATTTTAGTAAAGTATTAATTATAAGCCATAGGGGTAAAATGAGAAATGTATGATGAGTCACTGAAATGGGCAGTCTTTTCTGGAAAAAAATTATGAAACTGGATTGAATTTGCCTTCATATCTCAGAGTCAGAAGCACCTACTTTCACCTGAGAGGAAAGTGAAGTCCACATGGCAGAAGTGGTGTTAACCCTTGAGAGATAAATGTATGAATTCCAGTTAAATAGACAGAAAGAGAACATAATGGATAAGAGAAGCCAAGACCCAAAGAAAGCCTATGTGCATATTGTTATTGATTTTTATTTTCCATTGTTTGTTTTATTTTGTATATTTTTTATTTCTTCCTTTCTTTTAAACAATCAGCTACTTGTGAGAAAAAGTAAACACGCACCACACTCACAATCTTCATTGCCAGAATCATTTTCTTTTTTCAGGTTTAATTCCTCTCCAAGAGAACTTTTGAAGAACTTTGTGGTTGTCTTCCTGTCTCTTTGTTCTCTAACTTTACATGTATCCTTCAGCAATGGGAGCTTAGTTAGCATTTCTAGTGAGGGCTCCAAAAACCAGAACACTGTTAGAAACTTGCAGGAGAAAGGAGTGAGAAAGGGAAGAGTAAAGGTGTAAAAATGATCAAATATCATTATGAAACTCTGTTAAAAAAAAGGAGTGAAGAAGAATGAATAATAGAGGGGAGAAATTTAACCAAAGTACATTATATGTGTGTGTTAAACTATCTCAATGTAACTCTTTTATACAATTAATTTATGCTAATGAAATACATATAAGAAAATAAATGTGGAGTGTAAGGCCAGTTTCATGATGTTTCAGATAGAAATGAGGACTCTATTGGGAACTGGTCCTAAAGATGTCTATGTTACATTCTGGTACTGAACTTGTCTATTTTGTCCATGCTCTGAGATGTTGTTATACTGAATTTAAAGGTATTGGACTAGATTATCTTATAGAAGAAAATTTAAGGTAGCACAGCACTGAGGCATGGCATGAGACCAAGGTTGTCTTACATGTCAGCATAGAATTTTGGTTTCTTTTAGTGAAATTTTATTGAAAATTGTTAGCAAAAATTGGAAGAGAAATATTTGAAAACTTGTAGTTCAGCCAGAAAGGAAGCAAATTTAAAGTCACTAAAGCAGTGAAATTCTTAAAGAGATTACTATCATTGAAAAGGAGAAAAGCACTTTGCACTGGAATGATAAAAGAATGAGTTGAGGGCATTTCAGGAATTTACAAGACCACTTTCCTATCTTAGGCTCAAGCTCTTGTTTAAGAAGAGGTCCCTGGGGTGCCCTGCTTGCAGAAGGCAATCCAGAAAATAGTTTCTCCAGGATGCCACCCCACCACCACATGTTCATCCATCCAGGAATCCAGAGGCTGTTGCAGCCATGGTTCAAGTGGCACATGTACAGCTCAGGCTGATCTTGGTGGCAGATCTTGGCACGATCTGTGTGATGCTAGTTATACAGTCACTCAGAACTCTATTGTCATAGGTCATGGAGACTTCCACTGATATTTCAAGGGAAGGCCAGGGAGGCCAAGCTCTGTGATCCTGTATGACAGGATCAGAATGCTTGAAGCAGTCATAAACTGGACAGTGCATGAAGTTCTGAGAGTGAAGCAGAAATTGGCATGATGATTCCAGGAAGTTAAAAGATACCATGTGTGTATCCAAAGGATATCCTTCCAAAGGATGCCTTAAGAGCAAGGGGAGCCAGCCCAAGAGAGAGGCCACATGAGTTACAGCCAACAAGGCCATAGTGTCACGGAATGTGAAGATATATTCCTACTCAGAACCATTCATAAATTGCCAAACAGGTCCAAAATCAGGCAGAAAATTTTATTCAACGACTAATGAATGGAAAAGGAGTTTCATGCCCTAAAATTACCTTTTCCCTGAATACTTGTGGAGACTAGGCTTTTGCTTACACAAGGTCATTAGAGGTATGGTGGCCATGCTGTCATCAGAAGTTTTCATGCAAAGGGGATAAGACTTTCAGAGATTTGAGTAACAGTTCTAAAATTCCTTAATTTGAGCATTATCAGATTTGCCATGCGTAATTCTTTTAAACTATTATTATTATAATAAGATTTGAATCCGCTCAACATCCTCTGGAGTGTTAATATAGCTCCTGGCCAAATTTAGCTGGTCTGGAGAACTCTCCAAAGGGGCTAGGTATATGTGAAAATTTAATGGTTGGCTGCTAGGAGGTTATGGATATCAGTAACTGGCTTATTTCTACAAGCAAGAAGCATCTGCTAGTAGATGGAGCTGATTGGACAATAGGTGATTAGCTATTTTGGGTCTCAGACTAGTGACAGTGGGGTAGAAGAGTACAAGCCCTTAGGGTTCCACATACCACAACCATGTTCCCTGAATTACAAACATGGTGCTAGAGGATTTACTCTTTTCCCTGGTTTCAGTTTTGCTTCTATCCAATTCCTCCTTGCTATTTTCCTATTCCACCCTTGTGGAATAGGAATTTTGATTGTTTTTTTGTCTATTTTGGGCAGTACTGGGATTTGAGCACAGGTCCTCATGCTTGCTAAGCAGGTGTTCTACCACTTGAGCCTCTCCACCAGTCCCCTTGAATAGGAATTTTATGCTGTCATTGTATCCTCATTATTTTATATGTTAACATATATTTAGGTATGCAAATATTTAATATTATATTAGTGTTACCTGAAGTATTCAGTATTGTAATGTGCTGTACAGATTTTTGGTTCAGGAGTAATAGTCTATACAATATTGTCTAGGGGTATACTAAGTTATATCATCTAGGTTTATCTAAGTACACTCTGATGTTTGCAGAGTAATGAAATTATCCCAAACCATATTACTGAAAAAAAATTTCCCATTATTACAAGATGCTTGACTGTGTGTGTGTGTAATATATATATATATATATATATATATATATATACTACATGCTTGCTTTCTTGGCAATTTTGTTATTGATATTTAAAATGCTAATTGCTTATGTTAATTTATTATTCTACCATCATATCAAATCTATTCATCACTTTCTTATGGATTGAATATGAACTTTCCCCCATAGATTCATATATTGAATTGAATGCTTTATCCTCTACTGTTTGCACTATTCTGGGAGGTGGTGACAACTTCAGAAGGTGGGGCTTAGCTGGAGCAAGTAGGTCACTGAAAGTTAGACCTGGTTCCTGGTCTCTTTCTTACTCACTGTTTTCTGCACAACCTGAGTCAAGTAGTTTCTGCCACATGCTCCTGGATCCAAGATATTCTGTGTCAGGACAGACCCAGATTCAACAGAGTCAAAGATTATGTACTGAAAGCTCTGAAACTATGATCAGAAATACATACATTCTCCTTCTATGTTGGTCTGTCAGGCATTTTGACACAATGATGGAAACTTTGACTAACATATACTACTAACAGTGCTCTTTTTGTGGAATACTAAGCTATCTATCTATCTATCATCTATCTAAAACACACACAAATATGGTGTGTATTTGGTTCCCTGCACTATAATACTATTTTGTATCTCTGTGTTGCTCAATATCTCTGACACAGCCTCACTGTACACTTGCACTATGACACAGATATTCCAGTGAAATAACAATTGTTGTTCCTAGCTTTGGTCCATTGTTCTAAAGGGAAGCATTCCATGAACTTTTACACAGCCATCTTGTTTCTTTCCTATGTTTTATTCACGATTTCTTATTGGAGTAATGAAATGCTTGAAAACTTCAATAAGTTGGTAACCATTTTCTGAAATAGAATACAAAACAATGACAGTATGTATTCAATTTGTGAGTTGGATGTATGTGAATTCTATTTTGTCAAAGTTCCCCTGTGAAATTTTTTATTTTGTGTTTTTCAAGAAATGTTGATCAATTGTGTAATTATTATATCTCTATTTTGATGTCAAAAAGAATGCAGGCAAATCACCTTTCAATGTTCTTTGTGATTACAAAACATCTTTTATAATACAGGTGAGGTGCAGATGCAGATCATGGATGGACTCTAGCCTCCATAAAAGTGCTTAGTTACAAAAGAGATATTGAGCATACTTGTTTAATCAGAAAGAAAAGGAAATTTGTGTTTCTCTGTGTACTGTGAGTCTACATGCCCTGATTTGTCCTTAATATATTTACTTTGACCAATGCAAGTTATATTTTAACATCCAGGTTAATTTCTTCTTAAATATAAGCACAAGTAATTGACAGGGGGAACACAATTTGAAAGGAGTCCTCTTTTAACTAGGATGGCTGTGAAATGGATTCCATTTCTGCTGTTACTGCAGCTGAGTCATTACTTTAACTCTGGAAGTTGTGGAAAAGTGCTGGTTTGGCCAATGGAATATAGCCATTGGATGAATTTGAAGACGATATTGGATGAACTTGTACGGAGGGGTCATGAGGTAACTGTTGTGAGACCATCTTCTGCAGTTATTGTGGATATCAATGAACCATCTAATATTAAACTTGAAACTTTTCCTTCATCTTTCAATAAAGATGAAATGAATTCTTTCTACATGGAATTTATCAGGATGTGGACTTACGATATCCCAAAACATACATGCTTGTCATATTTTCCATTGTTGGAAGAACTGTTTATGGAATATTCTGATTCTTGGGAAACTATTTGTAGAGAAGCAGCTTCAAACAAGAAACTTATAGCAAAGCTACAAGAGTCAAGATTTGATGTCCTCCTTGCAGATGCCATTGGTCCCTGTGGTGAGCTGCTGGCTGAGATACTCAAACTTCCTTTTGTGTACAGTCTCCGCTTCATTCCTGGGTACACATTTGAAAAATACAGCGGAGGACTTCTGGTCCCTCCTTCTTATGTACCTATTATTTTGTCAGGATTAAGTGGTCAAATGACATTTATGGAGAGGGTACAAAATATGATATGCATGTTTTATTTTGACTTTTGGTTCCAGACATTTAATGAGAAGAAGTGGAATCAGTTGTATAGTGAAATTTTAGGTAAGTCATGTATTTTTATGGGTAGACTACAATCTGAACTTTCATGTGACTTTGAAGGTATTCTTCTATGCATATAAAATAAGAAGAATTTGTCCTTTATTGGTGAAATGATTAAATAAAGTATGACAATGTCTACCAATCTCACAAAGACTGTGGTAAAGCTTACTTTATAGGGTTAGAGAAGTCAGTGGCCCAATTCTGAAAAGGACATTCTAGGAGGTCATACAACTAGACGGTGAAGCACATAGGTTTCTCTGTGTAATTACATTTATACTTTTTAGTATTTTGTTGTTTGTAATAAAAAGTCACTAGACATCTCCCAAATATCTTGATGAATAAGTATTTGTAGATTGAGAAGTTACGTATGTTTTCAGTATAACCGTGTATGTAGCAAAAAGGAAATTATTTTCCTTATGTCAATTAATTTCCTTATTTCAAATCAAATGTTCTTGTCTGTATTTCCTAAAGGGTCTCTTCACTCTTGAGAGATAAAGTGCTTTATCACAAACTCAAAAACTATATCTTGAGGTTTCTCATGACTGCATTCCTTTGTTATGTACGTTCCATTCATCCATTTCATAGGCCTAAAATCCTATGAAGTCAGATTAACATGCAATTTCTCTGTACTGTTTTAAGTCATGTTGTTTAATTTTTTAAAAAAAAATCAGCCACAACTAAGCATAAACACAAACCTTTACTTTCATTATTTTTAAAATGTTTCCAGGTGATATTTGCAGACATTTCTTTCTAATTAGTTAATATTATTTTTTATACTTTATTTTTACTAGCGTTGTACTGGGGTACATTGTGACATTTACAATGTTTATTACAATGAATTCACTCCACTCCATCATTCTCCTTTATAACTCCTTCCCTGCTTCCTGGAATAGTTTCAGCATGTCTCATTTTTCCACTTACATACATGTGTACAGAATATTTCCATCACATTCACCTTACCCTTCTAACATGAACAAAAAGCAGAAGGTACCAGAAATTTTTCCAAAGTCATAAAGCTCACTGATTACTTGGAAAACGAGGATCAAGGACCAGTTTGTTAAACTGTAAAAACTCTATCGACTGAACAATCGTGGTGAAGTTATTTTTATGACTACAGTATAGTTAACTGGATCCAGAATGTTTGTTTTGGTTCATTTGTTTGTTTTTTTGTTTATTTTTTGCATCTGGTACTTTTGAAGCTTTAGAGAGAAAAAGTGCACGATTAATTATATAGTAATTTACTTTAAAGACGCATAGTGACTGAGGTGACATTAGAGATATAATCTCTTTCCATTTTGTCTTTCAGCCACATAAACATACACATACATAAAATTTGCAAAACAAAAATAAATTACACATGTAAATTAGATTATACACAAAGATATTTAATTTATCAATGCATTCGAGTGACATTTCTGTCATTAACTTACTTTTTTTTTCCTCCTTCTCTATTTAGGAAAACCTACAACCTTAGCTGAGACCATGGGGAAAGCAGAAATGTGGCTCATTAGATCTTACTGGGATATGGAATTTCCTCGCCCAACCTTACCAAATATTGATTTTGTTGGAGGACTTCACTGTAAACCTGCCAAACCTTTGCCTAAGGTAAATATCTTCCTCTTGCTAGTTCTGTTTCATTTTATTTTCAAAGAAAATGATTCTAAACCATTCATTCAAAGTTTTGGTTAGAGTTAGAGAGATATGGGAAGTCATATAAAGCACTGTTAATTGGAAATGAATTTTTAAACCATCATAAGCTTTTGCATTTTGTTATAATTATAGAACAATGTGGGAGGTCTTGGAGATATTCAGAACAGAGTCAGTCAAATTAAGGCCTTAATTATTAAGCATATTAGCATCACTCATTCATTCAAAAATTTTAAAGTTATTAGCATACACCAGCAGTCAGTATTGGATATTCAGAGAAACAGCATAGACACTTTCTGTCTTAACCCTCCCATCTTATACTCCATTTGGATAGATAGACTATAATTTATTAATAATATCTAGTAGAAATATTTTTGAAAAGAAGGATTACAATGTTAAGAGACCATTTACCAAGAACTGAGATAATTTCCCAGAGTCATTGAAAGAAAATGATATAAGAACATTGTGCAGGAATTGGTCAAATGATGATAGTGAGAAAGATATAAACAGAAAAAGCAAATAATAGTAGGAAAATAACAATTCACCAAAACTAAAGTTTACCAGAAAGAAGGATAATAAAGAGCCCAACTTTGCTAGAATTGAATTACCATTCACAACCCCCAGATTAGAAAGAATTTCAAATATTAATATGGACATTAGAAAGTCAGAGAAAAAAAGTTGTGCTAGGGAGTTATATGACCAAAGTTCCTTTTTAAAAAAGCCTTCAGAAGATAATCTCTGGGTTGTATTGCTGAGGGGCTATACTGTGGAAAGGGGGAGCATTTAGGATGTTGTTATAAGAGGTCAGGGAATAGATTATGGAACCTAGACTACAATGTTCATATAGATGATGAGACCTACTCATATAACAAAAGAAAAATCTCATATTGAGTTCTTTAAAAAAAATTATTAACATATAATAGTTTTACAAGTTGATACATTGTGATATTTAATGCAACATTTCCTTGCCCTCACTATAGCATTTAAACCATTCCTTACTTGAGATATCAGAGTTTTACTTTAGGAGAAAAACAGATGGCTTACTATGGTTTATTTTATTTGGACAGGTGTTTGATGATTTATGCCAAGTCCATAGGACACCACAGTAAAGTTCCCTCAGCCAAGTTCTCCTTTGTTATCATAGCTGCCTTACTGAAGCATACAGAAAATCTATACCACAGATGAGCACCTAATAATTTATACCATTTATTTCTGAAAAAAGACAATAGGTTTGGATTACAAAAGAATTATGTCAGCATTTGTGATAATATCTCTTAAGAAAGTATGTCCCTTATTATCTATTACCCTCTGATATCATGCTTTTAATACACATACAAAGTAGCTTTCTTTACTGCTATAATGTATTATCTTTTAAGAGTTTCTTTTTCTCTACCTTTTTTTAGCAGCAACATAAAACTAAAATCTTATTAAATAGTAAAAATCCAACTTTTTAAACTATGTATAGCATAATTTTCAGAAGTCCAAAAGCTGAGGCCGTGTTTCTGTAAGTTATTAATATGAACTTCTTATGCTTGAAAATTATCAATTCAATAAACTTCTAAAATTGAATAAAATGAGTGAGTCAAGGTTATTAGAAATGGGAAACTGAGAAAGAGGAGAAGGAAGACAAGGAAAAGAAAGAATTTCAATGTAATGGCAATAATTAGTAATAATATCAATTGCTATTAATTTGCACAAACAAGATTTGAAACAACTCAAATAATGTGAAGTCTGTCTTTTTCTTCTATGTTAAAAATATCTGTCTTGTCCCAAATGGCTTTCTTTTCCCTTAATTATGTAAAGCTCATATGACTTCTATCCCTCCAAAAAATTAGAAAGCTTAGAAATTGTACCAAGTCTTCACAATGTACCCTTTGGCTATATAGGATACTCACTTGAAACCAAACAAAGAAAAATAATAAAGATGGGCAGAATCAATATTTGCAACAACTGTTTGTAAAAGGAAACATTGAAAGTAACTTAAATAGCTAGCATTAGGAATGATTATATAATTTACATATATCACATCATTAAATTAATTTCACTAAAGAATCCTTAATAATACAAAACAGGCCAAAATAGGAAACTTAAATGGAAACAAATGGGAAAAGGAGATAAATAGAATAAAACTACATTTTATTCTGGTAGAAAAATAATACAAATGAGAATTACAGCTTTCTAAACATATGTCACAAAATATTAATTAACTACAGAGTTTTAGTTTTGCAAGAAGAAAATGGAACATTGTTGCACAGTAACATGAACATGGTTAGCACTGCTACATTTACACTTAAACAAGACTGTGCTGGTAAAATTCTGCCTTATGTGTATTTTGCCACTACGACTCCTCTAATAATTCCTGATAAGACTTGACTTTACCTCTGTAGATTTTATAGCCACCCTCTCACTAGTGTAAACTCTGCTATTGTTCTTTTGTGATGGAGAAAATTCTTTCTTCACAGGAAATGGAAGACTTTGTCCAGAGCTCTGGAGAAGATGGCATTGTGGTGTTTACCCTGGGATCAATGGTACCTAACATAACAGAAGAAAGGGCCAATTCTATTGCATCAGCCCTTGCACAGATTCCACAAAAGGTTAGGTAATGTAATTGAACAGTGGATAACTACTGAAGGAGTCACAAATTCTGGAAGAGTCTGGTTACAATAAAATGTAAACTGTTTTGATAGTTCTAATTATCTTAGCTAGTTTAAAAACAAAGATAAATGTGGCAGATGATAAAATAGTACAGAAGGTGTTTTTGATTGACAATAACTTTGACATGAATGTTGTCATGAGAAAGAAAAATAGTTAAGAATCAGTGTGAAATTTTTATATTAACACAATATTGCTAGCAAGTGTACACAGAAATCATCAAATCTGCCCAGTCATTTCTTCTTTTCCTTGCAAGATTGTTTAAGGCCACTGAGTACACTAAAGATGTTTCAGAACAGAGTTACTTATTATTTAACAACTGTGCTATCACAATAACACTAAACAGTTACTGAAAAAGTTGAAATGCATCATGTAGTTTAGACTTCTTGTGTTATCTTTACCTCATTATTTGGCTTAATTTTGGTATAGGTCAATTTAGAGTACAAGTAAGGGGGCTATTCCTAGAAAGGAAAACCAAGACTAACCAGTGCTGAATGTGTCTATTCAGTCATGTAAATTAAGAAACAGAGAAAAACAGCTTGCCCTTTTGGATAAGGTCTTGCTGATATCTGAGCAGGAAGTGTAAATAGAAGGGTGGACTGAGCCCTGTCCCTAGAGTGAACCCTGGGCATTATGAAATATGACCCACAAGGACTTGGCTTCTGACCCATTAGATTGTATCTCCTCTCAGCTGAGGAAAAGAAAGGAAAATATGAAAGTCAAACAGAAATAAACCTGTCCTAGGAAGCCAGAAAGTGCTTCAAGTGCCCTACTTAAGAGCTAAGTTCTATCACATAGTAGAGTACTTGACTACCAAGCATTAGGCCCTGAATTCAAATCCCAGAAATGAAAAAAAAATAAAAACCAAGAATTTTTATCATATATAATCCAACTTTAATCTCTGATTTTTTTTTTTAACTTTTCTGTCAGCTACATCCTTCTTCTTATAACCATGTATGCTGTTTTTTTGGTTTTTGCTTTTAACTGAAAACCTAAAACTACATTTAACAAATAGACGTTAAACATGGATAAATGATACTCCTGTTTATGAAGATGTTTGGAATTTCTAAAATCAATACCTTATTTGAGGACTAGGTGTGGAATGTGTTTATTACGGCAAACCATATTAATCTCTGTTGTGAATCTTTTGCAGTTAACATGAAAGTGTCAGTGGTCAGTTGAAAAAATATAGCATATTTAAAACATTGGATATTTTCAAAAGCCATATGATTTATGAACTGCAAATTAGCTCTATTTGCTATCATTAAAGAACTTCCATTTGTAACAATAGTGATACCATTATTGATTCCTTTTCAAAATGTCTCTTGCAGTTTATTATGAATGTGGTGACTAATAATTTGTTTTCTAAAACAAGTTTTATGTAATTCCTAAGCAGAAGTAATTGATTTCTCATGAGGAGATTTGATTTTTTGCATGTTAAAAACTCAAACTCACTTTTTGCGTATGTGCCGGTGGAGAAGGCAATAGTTTCCTCCACACATGTAGAACAACACTGGTGAGTTCGCAAAACTGTACTTGTCACAGAAAGGCTCTGCCAGCACCCATGGCATTTTTGCTAAGGACCACGTGTCCATTCAGATGAACATGCTTGAAGGTGACAAGGTCTTGGGAAGGTTTAATGATGAATTTAAAACTTTCACTTTGTGTATCCAGTGCCAGAAGGAGCTAGTCAGATGACTATTCTGTCTGTGGCCAAGCCAGAGGCCATCTTTTCAAAGAACTTCTGACTAGAGAAAACTGTGGATGTGAAATATTTGTCATAAACAAAGAAATACACAAAAAATATCAAACTCTAAAAAAAAAAACTTACAGTGCATGTGAATATAATCAAATTTTACCATCACTTTAAAAAGTTTAATAATTAGCCCAGTACTGGTAGCTCACACCTATAATCATAGCGGGAGGCAGAGATCAGGAGGATCTCAGTTCAAAGCCAACCCAGGCAGATAGTTTGAGATACTTTGAGAGACCCTATCTCCAAAACACCCAAAATAAAAAAGGGCTCACAAAGTGAGTCAAGTGGTAGAGCACCTGCCTACCAAGCATGAAGCTCTGCATTTGACCCCCACTAGTGCCAAAAAAGAAAATAATAAAAGATTAATATTGAAATTAGAAAATGAAAGTCAAACTAGTGAAAATATATTGAAATAAAGATGTAAACCATTAGTAATTTGTTACTGCATCTTGTTTTAGAATTATGACTGCCTGAAAATTTCTTAAATACATTCATTTATCATTTGTTACCACATTTGTCCAAGTCACTGTAATGACTGCAGTCAACTTTATTGAATATAAAAGCAATTATAGCATATATCTGTACTCTCTTTGTCTCAGTGTTTTAATAGTTGTTAGAAGTCCTCACTTCTCATCTGATCTCATTAGTAAGCCTTCATTTCTCTATCTGTCCTATGAAAGACAATTGTCTCTAAAGTTAAAATTTTACACTTTAAAATTTGAAACCTGGAATAACGTCTTGACTGCAATTCACAGGTTCTTTGGAGATTTGAGGGCAAGAAACCAGCCACCTTAGGAGCCAATACTCGGCTGTACAATTGGCTCCCCCAGAATGACCTTCTTGGTAAGACACTGGAGAAAGAATACTGAAAACAAATACAGTTGATAATAACATAATTGGAAACAAATTAAACAAGCATTTGTTACTGGAAAACTTAAAAATAAAACCAATCTCTTTATGTTTATTTTCTAGTCCTAAAGGAAGTAAACTATATACCATTGCCATTTTATCATAGTCACCTTGTTCATGGTCAGAAACAGAGAATCATTTTTTTTTAAATTATATAGCTTATTTTTTCCCACAAGACTGAGGATTGAAGAGGGTCTTATGCATGCATGCTAGGCAAACATTCTACCACCAAGTACTATCCTTTTTTCTTTTTACCCTTTATTGTGTGCTGAGTCAGGGTATATTGTGTCATTATATATATTGAATATTAGATCACTAATATTTCAGGATAGTTACCACTGACAGAGAATGTTGTATAATATCCTGGGTTGTTCCTGCTTCCTCTAATTCCATTATTATATCTGTCCTTTCCACTTAAGTAGATGTATTTCCAATTTACTTGGGGGTAGGGGGAAATAACCTTGTTTTATTGTGAATGATTCTGTGTTTTATGGGAAAAACATTAACATATTATCTTGAAATAATAACACTCTTTCTCTAATTCTGGCACCTCTCCTTGCAGCTTTTGACAATATTCCTGTTGGAGTTAATGTACTATATCTTTAAGAAAACATATTATAACATGCACACAGGCTTTCTTTGGGACTTGGCTTCTCTTATCCATATGTTCCCTTTCTATCTATTTAACTGGAATTTATATGCTTTTCTCCCAAGTCTCAATACACCACCTCTGCTGTGTGGTCTTCACTTACCTCTCAGGTGGCTGTAGGTGCCTCTGGCTCTGAGATATGAAAACAAATTAAATGCACTTTCATAATTTTTGTCCAGAAAAGACTGCCCTTCTCAGTGCCTCATCATACATTTCTTATTTTATTCCTAAGACTTATAATTAATAATTTTACCAAAATTCACTTTATCCTAGGTCATCCCAAAACCAAAGCTTTTGTAACTCATGGTGGAGCTAACGGTGTCTATGAGGCAATCCATCATGGGATCCCTATGGTGGGTATTCCTTTGTTTGGAGATCAACATGATAACATTGCACACATGGTGGCAAAAGGAGCAGCCATTGGACTGGAGATAAAAACAATGTCAAGTGCAGATTTGCTCAGAGCATTGAAGACCGTCATTAACAACCCTAGGTGAGTCTAACCTTTTGTGCTTGTTTGCATACGTGCATATGGGTGTGTATGAGTGTGTGTGTGTGTGTGTGTGTGTGTGTGTGTGTAGATGGACATTGTGGGCAAGCACTGTACCACTGAGCTACATCCCCATTTCCTTCTTTATATTTGTTTTGCTTGCTTGTTTTTGACTACATAGTGTTTATAGATAAGTTCTCACATGAAGGTAGCAGAGATGAGTTTGAGCCTGAAAATAATGAGTATAGAGCTGATTAATACCATGAGACATCATCAATAACCCATCATAACTGTTACAATAAGTTGTATTTTGTGCGTGTTTTCTATGGTTTTGTTTTGTGATATAGCTCAGACAGACTTGAAACTCGTGATAGTCCTGTTTCAAACATTGGACTGCTAGGTTAAAAGCAAATACCTCCAATGCTTTTAGTGGAAAAATTTGTCAAAATATTAAGTATAGAGTAAATTCATAAATAGAATGAAATGACTAGTAGCCAAATATTATAAGAAAGTGTTGCTGTTATCAGCTGGACCTGGGTGACCAGAGCTGAAAAAGATGGGGGGACTATCAAGTTGTGCTCAATAGCCACTTTATTGAAGATCACTTCTGCTTTTTATAAGCTGTTTTTTCACAGAGAGCATGTGGTCAGAAAAAGCATGCCAAGTATTAGGTGTCAAGTTTACATACATCAGTACAAGCAAGCACAGTTAAAAGTAACTCTTTGTTATGTCTCTTTTAAAACGGGAACAGAGAGGCAGGAGAAGCACATGGTCAGCATAATCTTCTTATTTACATCTGAAGGACACAAAGCCATCTGAGGAACCTTGAGCACTGATATTTTTTGGACATCTAGTCCTGAGGCCTTTGCCTCAGTTCCTTGGAGCTTTCTCACAAGGCCAGATACCAAATCACACAGGCAAGGTCTGGTCCTGAGACCTTTGTCTCAGTTTCTTGGAGTTTTCTCACAACGCCAAATGCTAAATCACACAGGCACAGTCCCACTGCTGGCTCCAACAAGAAAGCATTAGGAAAACAAGAATCAAGGAAAGATGAATGTTACAACAACACTAACTTTCAGTAGAGTTATGACTTTCTTTTTCATGAGGACTCACTAGATGCTATTTTTAAGATAAATGTTATTGTGCATATTTTACATATGCAACATGTTACAGGATACCTACAAATTATTCAGATCTGATTGTGGAGAGTCACAAGGATACATCTATCACCTCACTTATTATATAGTAAGACATAATCAAATATCTAATACCTATTGTATTTAATGTTTCCCAAATTTTCTATGCTAATATTTGAATTTCATCACTGATAAATAGTAAACAATTAGGGGTTTTGAATTTACCTAATTAAAATGTGGTAAACAGAGGATACTACTTATAAATATGTGCATATTCCTTGATTTTAGAGCTGTGGATGTCTCACCAAAACAATTATGCTAAAAGAGGTAGTTTAGAATATAGCTGTTTAATTATCAAAGTATTCAAAGTAAAAAAAGATTTGCTTTCCAAATTTTTGCAGTATATATGTTAATTTCCACTATTCAGTACCACTTTATTCTTACTATTAGTAAAATTCTGAATGTATTTCCTCCTTTCATAATGACATCAAAAGAAAACATTATGTTCAGAAGTGTATTGATGCAAATAGTACCAAAGCCACATTTGAAAAACAGTGTTACTTTAATTTTTGTATAAATATTGGTCATCCAGATGAATACCTTATCAGGCTCATTTCTTTTTTGAAAATCAATTTGTTTTTGTGCTGATTTGATGTAAACATATGTCTTTTTTGCACAAATTTTTTCTACATTTTTGGGTTTAATAGATTATGCTGAGAATGATTTCTTAATTAGCTAATACGTATTGGATCTCATCATGTGATACACATTTTACTAGTTTTTAATATATTCTGAATATCTTTACCTATTGTATTACAAAAGCATATTCAGATTAGTTTCCTCATCTGATAAACAGTCTTTCAGTGGTTTTTTAAGTAACAGGAAGAGAAATTACCTCCATTGCTATTGCAACTGCATCATGCTGCAGCACTTGGAGTTTAGGTATGATAAACCATGTCCCTATGCACACTTTCTCCTTGTCTATTGATCCACAATCATTTCAACACTCAAAGTTACCTCTTTTCAGCAATCCAATGTATTTTAATGTAAAATGTTGACTCTTCTTCATATTATAAAACAACAATATTAACAGGAAAAACAATAATAATAGCAAACATTTATGCGATTTTTTATCACAATGAGAATAATTCCAAGAATTCTAATAATCATCACATTATTTCTTACAATAGGTAAGAAGAAAGCAGCTATTCTAATCTTTTCATTTAATACTAAGGGACAAGTAAAACAATCAGGATTTAAAAGAAGACAATCCACTTCTATAGTTATAAAATAATCACTGCTAAATGGTAAATAAAAGTTATTGATAAAATTATTCATCATGTAATTTATCCATATTTTGTGCCTGAGACTTGACTTAGGCATGCACTCAGTTTCTAAATCATAGTATTATTTTGAACTTGATTCAACAGGTAGTTTAATAATTGCTTCCTGGATAACTCAAGTTTTATACCTTCAAATAATAGTTCTTATTTCATCTTGCCTTAGTGTTTTAACTGACAACAATGTCTAATTTAGAAATACTTATACTCTCCTAGACTTTTCATGTTTATATCCTTTGTGTTCAATAAGTTGTGGCCTATATACTCACTAATACATTATGATCACTAAGAAAATAATTTGGATTTTGCACATTTTATGTGCTCATCTTTACCATCCACACAAAAATTCACATATCTACAATTTGTAGTTCATTCTGTAAGTTGGTGTCAATTTGATTTTCCTTTAGCTATAAGGAGAATGCTATGTGGTTATCAATCATTCACCACGATCAGCCTATGAAGCCCCTGGATCGAGCTGTCTTCTGGATTGAGTTTGTCATGCGCCACAAAGGAGCCAAGCACCTGAAGCCACTTGCACACAACCTCACCTGGTACCAGTACTACTCTTTGGATGTGATTGGATTTCTACTGGCCTGTGTGGCAACTGCTACTTTCCTTGTCATAAAATGTTGCTTATTTGGCTATCAAAAGTTTGTTAAGATAGGGAAAAAGAAAAAGATGGAGTAGAGCTCTTTGAAGTCTCAGAACCTATTCTAAGATCATGATAGGTGAGAATATTTCATTACATTGAGCATGTAGATCAAGATGTGGCAAAGATTATTTTGCACATTTTACAAGACTTTGTTCTACCTGACTTTCCTATATATTTTACATGAGTTAAACTACAATAAATTAATGTCTATTTCCAGAATTCCTAAATAATGTTATATAGTGCTGACTTGTATCTATCATAATTCTGAAATTTTACATTAAATGAAATACCAGCTTATTGATTGGAAAAGAGAAGGAAACCAAATATTTTTACTGAGAATTTTCAGAAACGTATTCTAATAATATGCAATCACATGGACTGTTTTTGTGTCTGTCATATAAAATCAGGTAAAGACCTTTTTGAAAGGTGACGAGACAGATTTTATTCAAAATACTGAAACAGGGAAAGAGAGTTCAATATATAATGAACCCAATACCTAATAAGACAGAGTAGACCAAGATTTTCATAGAAATAAAATGTGAGTAACAGAAAGTGAAGTTGGGGGAAACAAAGATGAGAATAGGTCTATACGTAGATGAAAAATTACAAGAGAATTACTAGAATAGCCTGGAAGGGGAAATTACACAATGTACATTTACAATATGGAAGAATCACATTTTCATGAGCAAAGAAAATGGACATCGTGGTCTTCTGTAGGAATAAAAAACATTATTAGTACAGGCAGAAGCCAAGAGAAATTAGCTAAGGCCTTTGCACAGTGTTCTGTCAACTCCTTTGTGCTATATGACGGTTAACAGTGTACATTCCTACTGAAATTCAAAATATTTTTTAAGAAATTCTTCTTTGTTTCACAAATTCATGGTGGTCCTAACAGGCTTCCTACCTATACCAGGCATCTGGTAAAATCTTGGCTTAGTAAGTTGAAACAATTTTTTTTCCAAATATGGCCTTGAGTACTCTCAACTTACTGTTTTTGCTTCAGTTAATATACAGCTAAATAGTAACACACACACATACACAAACACACACACACACACAAACAATAAAAAAAGTGTGTAGCTGTAGATCAGAATGCTAGCTGGATTTCTGCAAATTTAGTTTGGTCCCACGAGAGTATTTTTCTACATTTCTCTCCTAATAAACACGGTCTCTTCTTCCTTGCCTTCCTTTATCTAGTTATTTCCAGCAATTTTGATACCTCATTAGTGAGTATATGAAAACCACTATTCACATTATGTTTTTGTTAATTCTCTAATAACAACACATAGAAAAATACATTATAGATGGAATAAAAGGCCATTTGATAGAGAGACAAACTTAAATGGCAAAGGGGTTCCACTACCCTATCCTTAAATCTCTGCAATTGTAATCTTTGGACTCAGAACAATCTGCAAAGCAAGCAAAAGTCAAGAAAGAAATCAATGGAAGCACACTTGTTCTGTCTGGTAGTAGATAGATTTAAATAGTTAAATTGATGAGAAAAATGCTTATGGCTTTTGACACATGAAAAATATGTTTATAGCACTCTTCTATATAAAAAAGTTAAGAATGAGCTGGGCATGGTTGTACACAACTGTAGTCACAGGTACTCGGGAGGCAAAAACCTGAGGATCATGGTTCTACACCAGCCTGGGCAAAGTTAGCAGGAGACCTTACTTGAAAAACACACTGAAAGCATAAGAACAGGGGTGTGGCTCAAGTGGGAGAGCACTTGCCTAGCAAGTTCCATCTCCAGTACCACAAAGAAAAAGAAATGCTTATTAATAAAACTAATTATGATTGTAATAGCCAGAAAATATGTACACAATGATTTTTTAATTAAACTTTGAATATATATATGCACTTAAATAAAAATTAAAAGTAAAGTAAAATTGAAAAATGCCTTAGTGTTCTTTATTATATTAATATATATTTTAAAGATGGAAAACATTTTGCATATACATTTTTATTATTGTTGTACTAGGGTACATTTTGACATCTACCAAAAGTCTAACAATATATCATAGTTGATTTCACCCTGTCCATCATTTGCCTTTAACTCCCCTCCCCCATTCCTGGAATAGTTTTAGCAGCTCTCTTTCCTAAAGTAATGAGGAAACTCTCCATATATACTACCCAATCCAAATAACAGTGTATATATGATTTTTAATGAATAACCTTCTGGAAATGCACTAATGACTTTCTCAGCATAGATTTTCTTTGCAATTCTTGTATTATAGAGCCAAATACATATCACTATGACTACTGGTATGTGATCAAACCATACTTTTACTTTGTTTTACATTTGAAAAAGGTATTTAATATAAAACAACATATACTCACATAGGAAGATATGTAGACATGAAGATACCCTTAGCAGAATAATAAAAATCAAATTGTATATTTCATGTCCTAAGTATCAACATTGTCTATGTGTTTGTTTCCCTAAGAGTGAGTCTTGCAACTTTTAAAGTTGTCAGCAGTCAAATATCTAGGATACTCTTATTATTTTGAATTCGATCCTTAAAGACAGAAATATGCAAACACAACTGATCTTGGATATAAAAAACAAATAATCATGATGTTAACTTTAAAAATATCACATAAAACTGAGTTATTTATGTCACGGACTAATTTTATAACTAGGAGTTTTTACAATTAATTTCCATATAGAATATAATGTTCAGAATAAGTAAAGAATAAGCGTCACACAAATACTAGCTAGAAAGATTCTTCCTATGTTGTTAAGTACAGTTGATAGAGATGATAGAGATAGACAGATAGATCAATTCTACAAGGTACAAGTGCTTAAATCCCAACAATAAATGCAAACATTGGTGAATAAGAACAAAGAAAACTGGACCTTGGAAGTGATGTTTCTTTCTTCCTCTACCACTTTCCAGATTCACTCCAGTATCTTCTAATAATACAGATAAACATTCAGCCATCTGGAAAAAGAGAAATATTTACAGTTTTCATTTGACATCACAAAGCAGTATTTCAAACTGAGAGATGATAAATTATTTACTGGTACAGCAATAATAGAATTTCAAGTTTCAATTTGTTAGCATCCTATGTGTTATTGTATCCCTGGGTACTATCTATGGGAACGTACTTATGAGTAAGAGACATTGTGCTCTAGAAAAGAAGGGGTCCATTGTGATTAAAGGCTTGCTTGTCAGGGTGACACTTTTGGGAAGTGCTGTCTAACTTTTGGTTATGGGGTCTGACTGAAGTCATGCCCTTATAAGGCAGTTCTTGGGGAACTCCTTGACAGTTCTTATTAGAGGTTTGTTACAAAAGTCTGATATTTGCACAATAGTCATGCTGGAAAACCGTGCAGTGTGAAACATATTCAGTCTTGTAGTCTGAATTTTGGAATATTTAGTATGAAGTATTCAATTCTTTAAGAGATTGAATGAGAGATACTCACCTTGTTAAAAGCAGCCTACTTTACTTAGTCTATCTTTCTATAAAAGCCCTATAGACCCATCTACAAATTATATTTACACAAAAATACTGGCACCCTGTGACCTGACATCCAAACAAATCTCCATGATTAATATCCAGGTAGATACAATAACAAGGTCCACTTCTATATAATATGATTGGACTTTCGTGCATATAACTAAAATTAACACCTTCCACCAAAAAAGAAGGTAAAATCTTTTGAGTCACGTTTATTGTACCCCTGAATACATGGATAAGAGAAAAGAAGTCAGGAAGACTTACAATTGTATATGTGTGTGTGTATGTGTGTGTGTATGTGTATATTTATATTTACACAGGTATACAATTTGCATATTTCAATTTCTGTGTGTATTTTTCAATTTCATATAATATGATGTGACATGATATATAAAAACAGATGAACATACATACGTTTTTATACAGACAATCTTTGATTGTCAATTTTGAGATGGGTAAAAAGGGTAGGCACTTTATAAAGCAATACTCTGAATTTTTGATTTTGACTTCTTCTTGTGCCCGTAATAAGTGCAAAAAAACATTCCCCTAATGTTAGGTAGGGCATTTAGCCAGGGAGCTCATTTCTCCATAAGATCAAGAGGGTAAAAAATAATGTGTTCAAAATCTCAAGAGATATTCAGCATTTTATAATGTAATCTTTGTGTTATATTGTTTATCAGACTCTATGGTAATGTAAGTATTCTTAGTCTGTTTAAAGTGGAATTGGCTAATCTCCCAGCAAGGAGTACTGATCATATCAATTACAGCTCCTTTTCTGTAATTGGTCAGATGGTTGTAACTGATCTTTATAAAGGCCTTCTTTTACTTCCCATTCTGTTATCTCTTTGTCATCAGCAAGCACCTTAGTTGGTCATGATTCTGGACCTGACAGAGTAGGCCATACATTTGTTCCTAAAGGATCTGGACTGTTAGGAGTCCTACTTGAATTGAAATGTAATTTTCAGTGCACTCAAATTGGGAACTTGAAATATTCCAGGACTTTTTCTTTTTCTGTATGATCTAAACTTAATCAGTTGTAGTCCTATAGATTCATACAATAGGTATCTAGTATTTGTCTTGTTTCTTGGAATTCTATTATTCTTCTACATGATGCAATCAGTTCCTAACTAGACTCATTTTAATGAGCTTTCTTTCTTTCTTTTTGTCACAATATACCTTCAGTATAACAATAATGTGCTAAGAAAAATAAAATTAAAAAAAAAAAACCTTGCATGACTAAAATAAATTGTGACCACTAAGCCAGCACCTTGAAGATCATACACACAGAAGAGTAAAATAAACATAAATATAGGAAAGAATAAATCTCATTACACAACTAGTTAAACAAAAAATGAAATACTATAAACATTAGGAAAGGGTAAAACATACTACATATCTCCCAATAATAAGTGAACGTTAATGGTTTCAGTTTTCAAAACAAAAGACATAGACTGGAATATTGGATTAAAAAATAAGACCAAAACATTTGTTGAATGGAAGAATTGAACCACACTGGCAAAAATATAGAATTATAGCAAATGGTTGGAAAAACTTATTCCAAGCAAGT